GCGGACGAGTTTTCCCGCTCTACTCTATTGGCTGCAAGACTGAACACGTCAAGAAGTATGGCGTCACCTTGAAAGGCGTGTTGATTTGTGACAGTAGAACGGACAAGTCGTCCAGCGCGCTCCGAAATGCGCTCCGCGAGCCAGTTTGAGCCCTATTTTCTCAAAATAAGTTAAGCCTTATCAAGTGAGACTTGGGCATTGGCTTAGTAAGGAGTCCCCGAATGAGTTAAGTAAGATTATGGCATACCCCAAATCTGGTGAGACACCTCCTCTAATAGCATTTACACTGCACTCACAATACTTGAGTTGTAAAGAATGCAAGTTTTGCTGCAAGAAGTTCTCTACGATGTATGATTATTTTATTATTTTTAGCATCTCATTCGATGTCCACTATTGAGCACAATAGAAAAAGGTCAACTCGAAATATGGCCTATTGCGGCGTCATCTCATTCACCTTTCTAGAGCTCATATGTTGGCAGTCGTTAGAAATGAATCGGAGCAGAGAGAAGTTTTTCAGAATGAATTGAAAAATCTAGAATTTGTTGCACCCTACTTTGCCCCATTCTGACGAAAAGACTTCGAAGTCCCACATTTGTCCACAGAATGAGCCAAATTCTTGATTTTTGTAAACACTGTTCAAATGTCTAGCAAAATTTTTAGATCCATCAATGATGAGTGCTGGCACCCTTCGATGCCAACTTTGAAAAAATTGAGGCCAGAGGCAGGTTTGATGGCTCTCAAACTTTGTGCGCGTATAACAGAATATGAGTGCAGCCGCGAATTCCAAGCGGACGCCCTCCTCATTTAGGATAATCAACATTTAGACGTAAATTCGGTAAAAAAGACCACAAAAAGAAAATTTTTAAATTTCACATTCAAAAAATCAATTCATATGTAAAGCATCAATGAAAATCGTAAAAAAGCGACGGCAAAAAGTGTAGGCTTTTTTGCACGACTATGCAATTTGACCGAGTGCGAAAATGAGTCCAAAGATGAAACTTCAAAAGTGCCCGAGAACTTCCCACACTAATATTTGGTTTTCATTTTAGATCAAAGCTATGAGCACCGTCTTTTTAGGCCAACAGTAATGAATTAGGATAGGAAGCTAGTTATAGGCATACATAATAATATTAGGTTGGAAAGAAAAAAATGAAGAAAAAAATGTCGTCTTTTGTAACAAGGCAAAAAGATGATAAAAAATATGGGAGGGGTACCATGTGATAGAGCAAAGCGAACTCTACTAGATTACCTTTAAACTTTGGTGTGAGTCGTGATTTACGCACATGCCAAAAATAAGATCAACTTACAATGCCAAAATCTCCAAAAATTCCTACAAACCTCCCACTTGTTCCTGCATGTAGCAGACACATGCACTAATCTATATGTACCCTTGATATATTTTTTTCATGTTTAGAAATCAAAGAAAAATTCAAAAACAAAAAATTGCGAACTTCGCCCTTAATAGTCCTGGACTCCTCCCATATATACAGTTGTACTACAAGCCTTCGAAGCTTTTGTCATGGAATTTCAGCCTTATAGATACTTTACTTTATGAGGAGTATAAGATTTAGCTAAAAAGGCCCAAATAGCAACATTCTTTTTTCCACCCTGATTCGAGCACGTGGTAGTTAAGTAGTAAACAGGGTTCGCACAAGTGGCTTAGGAGCAAGCTATGTAGATATTGTTTTTGGACAAGAAACAAAAATGTCAACGCTTTTGTGGGTCCGAAATTAGGTTTTTGGGCGACGTCTCGTTTTTTGATCAATTTGGGTATTTCGGATAAGGGTCAAAGAGGGACTTCTTAAAAATTTTGCGAAAGTCAGAGGAAATTTTGTTTTCTGCATTTTCGGAAAGCCATCTCGTGCCGAGCCCTGGTAGTAAAGCATCGTTCAAAAATAGAGGAAAGCCATTTGAAAGCCCAGCAAGCGTATGTGCGATACAGATTAGATGCCAGAGGACTACATCGCAACAGCGGATCTGAATTTAACTGGTTGCAGATCCACACATTTGCGTTGCGCTAGGCATCGTTTCAAAAGTGCAAAAGTAGTACAACTGCAAGATGGAAAATATCTCCTCCCCTGCAAAGTCTCAACTCCGAATAGCAACACATATGGTAACAACGTTTTAGACTCCATTAAGCGTTTGATCACTTCATTTTTGTAAAACCAACTCTTTCCTTATAGGATAATCACACGGAACTTTTCGTTTTGGTTCAGTCACACTGCTTCAGTGAGCATACCTAGTGTCAGAAGCTATTTTGTGCATTGAGGACTTCATGTGTACAGCATTCGTAACTGCGTCAAAAATATTATTATCGCTGTGAAATCTTGAAAAAACTGTGGTATTTTAGCACTTTGTCATTTGTGCAGGGAAGAAGCTAACCAGAGAAGAAGCATCTAGTAAGCAAAAAGAAATGCATAAGATATGAGTTGTTTGACGGCCATTTCCTGCTACTGAGTTTTCACGTGCTTCATCTTGTAATCAAGTCGACAGATAAAACTGATGCAAATTTTTGTCATTTAGAAAAGAGACGCCTAATTAGCAATGCGCACACGTCGAATATGAGCATGATCAGAAAATAATTCGTAGCTCATACTCTCAAACCTTCATCTTCTCACGTTACTGACCGGAACTTCCGCAGAACGCTTGGAAAAGTTCCGTTAGGCCACCTGCGGATTCCGCGAACGTGCGGCGGAAGCTCCCGAATGAGGTGCTGCGGAAGCCTCAAGACTGCGAACAACAACAGCAAAAGGGCTCAGATACATTTTCCGGCTGGTGACCGGGCGACGAAGGCCTTCCGGCCGAGGGCCGCGCCATGTTTTGGGGCGGAGCCTAAAACCTGCCGAAGAGCGGGCTAGAAACTGCTACCGGCTGGCTTCCGGCCGTGTCCGCAAAAGCGCGCCAAGGCGCACGAAATCATGAATACCGTCAGATTTTTATAGTAAGCATGCGATTTCATCATCCTGCGCGCCTTAAGGGCCGGGCATACTTCACGCGATTTCAGTCGCGACCCGACTTGGCAATCCGCCAGAAGTCTTCAGATCCAATAACAGCAAACTGCGCATGCATAGTGTGTATAACTTGAGTAGATTGATAAAACGCCTTATCTTCTGTACATTTAAACTGTGCTTACAATGAGTTATGGACAGTTGGAATACTGCCAAATCGCGTCGCGACTGAAATCGCGTGAAGCATGCCCGGCCCTTAACACAACCTTTTGAATCTTGTTTTTCCGTGATTATTAATGTGGTAGTGTGTCTTTCTTTACATGACTGCTCGTGTATTGTCATGTTTCATTGCTCATCTTTGTTTTCAGTTCCAGCAGACTAGGAAAGCTTCCATGTTGTTGCTAGCTGTCATATTGTTTCAAGAATATCTATCAGTGATTTCACATGATTTTTCGTTGTTGGTCTGCTTCATCCCCACGAAAAAGGTGGACTCAAAAAGGTGGACTCTCATAGGTAAATGTTTGACATCTTGATTAGATATTAAACTGAATATCCCATAACATTTTTCAGAGCTCGGAGTGCATTAGTTCACAAGTCATCTGAGATGCTTGAGACTCTTAATGATGGTGTTCCTGCTATGGTTGCGCCTGTATTATCTGCTTGTTTGTCTACTCCGGAGAACATTCTAGGACATTCTGCTCTAGGATTGTTTGATTGTTGTTGTCTGGAGATTAAGTGGACATATATGGAAATGATTATTCTGCTCATCAGTGTTGTCCATGCAGACTGCAACAGGTGAGCATAGTTTGTATTCCTCGTGCAAAGACTAATCTTTCTTTCCAGAATTGGAACTGGTAGTGAATATATGGTTAATATGTAATGCGCGTATGATCTTTATCGCGGAAGAATAACATAATTCCAATTGTGGCACATGCTGCTGTAACGTACTGCAGTGTTTCTCATCTTCGTAAGATCCCTATGATCTTTATTTGTAGGTACAAGCGGCTGAATTCTTACTCGTCTGTGAGATACGTGTCACGAATCCCGGGAGCGGAGTCGTTTCTTCTAGCTCCTGCTTCTTCTAGCTTCTAAGCTCAAAACTAATGCGAATTTGGTCACTGTTTGTATATGGTGCTGCAATATGTTACTATTATTATTATTATTTATTACACAGGATATTGTTGTTGTTACATGTTCATGAATATTGTGTTGATATGTTGTATGCTGTTTATGGAATACCATTCGTGTTTTTTTCCGCTCTTTGCCCTTTTTGTAAATAGTGAATGAAATATTGTAAGAAATTTTTGTATAACACTGTACATGATTAGAAGAATAGCATAGTCAACAAAGCTAAACCTGCGATGAAGTGGCGTGCCCCAATAACCCGCTGCGCTGAGAAAAAGCCGGCTGGCATCCGCGCCGTTTGCGTGCCAACACCGGCTGGCGGGCGGCCGGCGGCCGGCTCGCCCAGAATTGAGGTGTTGCCTCAGCCAGTCATCGCCCGGTCACCAGCCGGAAAAAGTATCTGAGGGAACACGTAAGCGAGATACAAGCCTTGCACTATTGACTGTAAGCACTTACTATTCTCTGCACGTGAATGACATGTTCGACAATGCACTCTAGTATTGGCCAGGCAACTTTGTAAGAGACAGAACATTTGGAAACTTGCGGAAGTACTGGCATGTCAACGTGCTCCGTAATCGCTGTCATTTTTCGGAAGTCCGAAAGCTCTTTGTATGAAGTCCTGCGAAGGTTTCCATTTTTAACGTTCCCCCTCTTGCAAAAGTAAACAAAATCCTGGAGAACCTCTGCAAATTTTGTTTTTTTCCGCGGGAGTTCCGGCGGATTATCTGAGTTATTCGTTTCCTCACTTTGAAGGCATTTTTGGAAAAAGTTGCCAAAATACTAATAAAAATTGTTTTCGCGCATTATCATTGAAAGCCAACACTGCTCCGTTATTGAGAGAAAACTTTTCACAAAGTTGAAATGCACTTGTTTGCTGTGCTTAGCCTTGTTTGATATAAATACCCTAGACTGATTCTCAGCACGACAATGATGATCCTATGGCTTGTGCTTTCCGGGGTAAATGAAGTACTTTCGGGTTAGCTGTTGACTTTTCATATTTTTAGGCACTTTCGATCTTGAGCTCTGTCGTATGCCAAGGATGTCCGCCAAAACACAACTATACATTTTGGGATCCTGCTCTTCCAAATCTTCCGAATTGTTCAAACGGAAACGAAAGTGGAAACGCACTTGATGCTAAATTCAAATTAGATTTTGTAAACGCGTTAGATGCTAAATTTAATCACGTTAGTTTTCCCTCTTTTCTCAAAAACTTCGAGCATTCCCATTTTTCTGCAAACAAGGCTGATGTGAGATGTCGTATAAATTCAACTGAAAGTCATATTGAATGAATTGCGCCTCCAAGCGCCCTCTCGCATCTATGTTCATTACGCGAGATGGGTCTTACTTGCGGAAAATGACGGTCATTATTTTAGCTTTTGCTGCAAGCAAAAAGAACATATTGAGACTTATCTCATTCTATTTCTAAACATCCAGGTTCTATTTCAGAGCTTACCGCGCTGGCCACCCTATAACTGCGACCTGGAGCTGAATGCAACAAATATATCGAATGTCCAAGAGAAAGTAACTGCAAAACAAGGCTTCTGGACCCCTCTGACGGAGTAAGTGGAGCCGTAGAGTGCAACAAACTGTTTGTCTGCATTAAATGATAAATTTAGAGGTAGGAACGCAAGTCTCATCGCCTCCGAATTGTCCCATCCCAAGCGTCCTATCGAAGAAGTGAGTTTTCAATTATAGCACCTTTAAATTATCCATTGGTGACTAGTAAAATGCAGGCTACAGCAAGGATGCGAAGCGCACGTGGTGCGTTGCAATGTGAAATTTGAGATGTCTCTTTTTTATTCAGAAATTTTCATGATGAGAGTAATAGGCTACGCGTGTTTTCTTACAAAGCCTATCACTATTACCATAGCCAGCTGACTGTAAGACATCAACTGAGATGCGACATAACAATTCTGTACAAATTCTTACTCACAAGGGAAGCGTGTGGACTCGAAGTGGCCTTTTCGAACGATATGTGTGTAAGATTGTAGGTTCTGGCGTGCAACTCATAAAACCTTTTTTGTATCTGTCTAGCGGTCCTCTGGGCTCGATTCTTTTTCTTAAGATATAAGCCTTCGAATATTGGGAAACCGTGCGCTTAACTTAAGTACGAAGGCATTGCTTGAGTACAGGCTGGTGGCGTGGCGCAGTGGCAGTTGAGCTTGCAGTCTTTGTAGCTTAGACTCGATTCTTTTTCTTCTCAACATTTTTGCATCTTTCTTTTTTTGTCGTCAGTTATAAGCTGAAGGTGCTAGCAGCATTAAAACAAATTTTATTGCTAGAATACAGCTATGACAGTTGATTTTAGAAATTAGCCAAACCTACTATCAAAAAAAAACTTTGTAAAGATTGAAACAAGAATATCATTACCAATACAACACACATACAGGTTAGCACAGTCCAGACCTTCAGTAGAAGAACAAGCTATCATGCCAGATCATCATCGACGTATCTTACCATAAATTCGCTAGCCATATAAGTGAGCTGTACGTGTGTTTTTGGAATAAGTTTTGTTTTTGATGCTGCTAAGATCTTCGCATTATCAGTGAAGACAAAAGAGACAAGTGCAAAAAGAGGAAAGGGATTGAACCCTAGACTTCAAGGATTACGAGTCAGCCACTTGCCACTGCACTACGCTGCCACAGCGTGGTAATGCAATCCGAGCACACCCGTATCGAGCGCGCGATTTTTCGAAATTTGAACGTCTATATCTTTGCTCAGAGGATCTTAGGCAGCTATGGAAAACTTCTGTTCTGAGTTGCATGCCAGGGCCTACAAAACTACATGTGTTTCTTTGAAGAAGGCTACTTCGAGTCCGCACGCTTCTTGTCAGTTTTGCTACACCTTCGTTTTGCTCAGACGTCGACGGCATACCTCCGGAGCAGAAACGGCAGAGCCGCGGGGTTTCCCCAGCAAGGGATTGCCACTCGTGCACCCTAGCCTTCCCATTTTGTGCTCCGGAGACCTCCCATTTATGCTCCGGAGTCCTTCCATTTTGTGCTCCGGAAGTCTGCCGCGGCATACTGTAACTTACTTACTTAGATACTTAGATGGCCCGGCTTCACGTGACGTGCGGGCCCCAGCTCAGAAGTTTCCATTTTTCCCTGTCCCTCGCTTCTGACATCCACGATCTTCTTGGCTGACGTCGGTGGCTGCGTCCACGAGTTCCAGGTGCAAAAATCGTATCCAGCTGATTTCTCAGCTGGTCCATCCGTTCCACGAACACGTCTGCCCATCTCGTTGGAGGTCTTCCTCGGGGACGTTTGGCTTCGCGAGGAATCCACTCCGATGTTCTTAGTGTCCATCTGTCGTCTGTTCTTCTCATTATGTGACCGGCCCATCGGTGTTTCGCTTTCGCAACGTATTCCGCTGGGTCACGAAGACGGGACATTCTTCTCATATCCGTGCTGCGAAGTCCGACTAGATGTTGCTTGCGTCGGGTCATCTTCAGAAGACTGCGCTCGAGCGCTCTGTGGGTGGTCCGTAAAGCTTTCGACGTGGCTACAGTGTCGGCCCAAGTCTCAGCTGCGTAACAGAGCGCCGGGAGAACGGTTGAGTCGAACAGGTGGGCACGAAGCTCCGGGTCCGTCAGTTGGTCGGTGGCTTCCTTCAGGGGCCCGAAGGCGGCCCAGGCTGCTCTTCTTCTCCTGTTAAGTTCTTCCCTCAAGTCGTTCTCCATGTTCATCGAACGTCCGAGATACACGTAGGAAGACGTCTCCATAATCGGGGTGCCTTCCAATTCCATTTCTGCATCTTCGCAAAGGGCGTTCTTCATGAACTGAGTCTTCTTCCGATTTATTCGCAGCCCGATCTTCTTCCCTACTTCGTTTAGTTCCTTCAGCATCGTCTCTGCTTCGGTGATACTGCTCGAGAAGAGAACGATGTCGTCCGCAAAACGAAGGTTGGACAGGAATCTCCCATCAACTCGTATGCCTCTCTCGTCCCAGTCCAGTGACTTCATCACCCACTGCAAGGCCGCGGTGAACAGCTTCGGCGAGATTGTGTCGCCTTGTCGGACCCCCTTCCCGATTGGTATGGTCAGGGGGCGATGGAATAGCTGCATCGTCGTTGTACAGTCCTTGTAGCAGTCGGCTAACGTCCTCACGTAAGCTGGGTCCACTCCTTGATCGACTAGCGCAGACAGGATGGCGTTGGTTTCGACGCTGTCGAAGGCTTTCTCGTAGTCGACAAAGGTTAGGACGAGAGGCAGTCGGTACTCCCGGCAGACTTCTATGACCCTCGAAACGGTCTGGATGTGGTCCATGCAGCTGAATCCTTTGCGAAATCCAGCTTGTTCTTGGGGTTGGGCTTCATCCAGTGTCCTTGATATGCGAGCGAGGATAATCTTCGTGAAAAGCTTGTACAGCACACTCAGCAAGCATATTGGACGATAGTTCCGAAGATCCTCCCGTTCACCCTTCTTGAAGAGAAGGACGGTTCTTGACGTTCTCCACTGGTCGGGAATCTTCTCCTTCTGAAGGTAAGATGTCAAATGCGACGCTAGAATCTCGTGTAGACGGTGTCCTCCGGCTCGCAGAAGTTCGACGGAAAGATGATCTGGTCCTGGAGCCGTGGACGTCTTCATGGTCTGTATCGCGATACGCACTTCAGCAGGTAGAATTCGTGGTGGTACTTCTCCAGTGGGAACAACGGGCATCTGCACGGGTGTTGATGAGCGGAAGAGGTTGGTGTAGAAGTTCTTCGCGATAGATTCCATCTTGTATCGGGAAGAAGTCGGAGTCCCGTCTTCGTTCAGTAGTGCAGCCAGCGGTACGTGATATTCGCAGAGGTCCCTTCGGCACTTCTTGAGACTTCGTCTTCTTTCTGCTGCTTCCAGTATCTTGGCTTGCCTGTACTTCCTGAGATCCTCCTGCAAAGCTGTTCTGCAACTGGTGTTGGCAATCAGTCGCTCGAGATGAGTTGCATTCGGATCCTGCCTCAATGATCTTCTTCTTTCGAGCAATTCCTTGGTGGTCTTCGAGATGCGGTCCAAGTTCTTCTCAGAAGTCACTGAGACGCATTCTCCGCAGGCTCGCAATCCTTTCAGAAGCCGGTCGTAGTCGTACGTTGGGTCCTCCTCGATGGGCCAGTCACAACTTGATATGAGCTCTTCCAGCCTGTTACCGTCATAGACGACTTCCTTCCTTCTCGCGGCACTATGACAGACTTTCTTTTCCAGCCTTCGGCTGAGTCGTATCTTCGCTCGAAGGAGGCGGTGATCGGAGCCACTACAGAAGGATGGAACTACAGAGACATCGAGTAAGCTCCACCTTCGGTTGGTGAGAATGTGGTCGATCTCCGCGTGGGTCGTTCCGTTGGGCGATTCCCATGTCCACCGGCGATGTTCCTTCTTCATAAAGATGGAATTTCCATGGAAAAGTCGTGCGGCGGAGAGAAGCCCAACAAGACGGTTGCCGTTTTCGTTCCGGAGCCCATATCCAAACTTTCCGATCCTATATTCCCTTTCCAGTGGCATCCCGATTTTCGCGTTGAAGTCGCCCACAACAAACTTGTAAAAGGACTTCTCGTTGCGGACGACCTCCTCCACATCTTCGTAGAAAGCATCTAGTTCTGATTCGTCAGCTGCTGATGTTGGAGAATAGCAGTTGATGATGCTGATGGTCTTCTGATGTGGAGGTCGTAGTCGTAGGATGCCTAGTCGAGGTGATAGGATCTCGTGCGAATCGACAAGATGGACGATAGATGGGTGGACGACAAAGCCGACGCCTCCCACATTTCGTGATGGAACCTTTTCACCACGAATGATGAGAGTCCCATCACTCATCTGTCGCACGTCCTTCTTCCTGGACTTCGTTTCCTGCAGAGCAATGATGTGGTAGTTGATGTGCTCTGCAGCGTCGAGAAGAGCGTGGAGGTCGGCGTTTGTGGAGACTGTCCTGGCGTTGTAAGTGCAGAGCATGAGGCAGTCTCCATGGCGTGTCGTCCGGGCAGACGTGTCGTTTTTGTCCAATCCGAAAGGCGCCCTGAGTACCCTGACATCGTTCTTGCTACCACCCGGCGCCGTAGGCGGGATCCGATGTACAGGGTTTTTTCTAAATCTTCTTGCTGTCTGAGTAATAAAATTTGTTCCCCTACAAGAGATGGCTTACTAGGCCTACTCTTGATTTCCACGGGGTGATCGCTGACCCCGGGCTTGGAGCGGGGAGGGACCGCCTAGCGACCAGAAGAAGCCAGACGGCGGAGAATCTGGCGCGGCCAGTTCTTAGCTAGGCATCCGGCCGGAACCGGAAACGTCGAACTCCTTCACAGCTTGGGAGGCCCTACCAGAGTATACACTCGGCTGTGCATCGCAGTTCGACACCCAGTGTCACCCCCACGCCACGATGAGGCGACCGACCATTGTGGGGGCATACTGTAACTAGCCCTAATTAATCTCCAAACCCCAATTATGTCTCTAAACCCCACCCAAATTAGCTCTAGACCAGCGTCGGCATGGCATACAACCGCCGAATACAACTCCCCTCCCCGGGTAGGAGTTCAGCGCGACCCCCTCTCTCTCACCCCTAGCGTTTGTAGATAGAAGATAGAAGAATGAAGAGACAAGACATTTATTTCGAATTAACTGCAAACAATCTACTACAAATCGCAAAACAAAACTTTTGTTGAACATTGCGTTGAGTTTGAGTTCGTTCCTGTCCATAGGTATCATCACTTTTACTCCATGACGACTGCAATTATCGAATAGATGCAGTTGAGCGTATAGTAATCACGCCATACGTACTGTCGCTCTGCTAGTACATCTTCCTACGAAAACGATCATATG